ACGTAACGGTAGGGAGAGAGAGAAAGGGAGAGAGCGTGCACACTTCTGTTGTGTGATCTTTGATGTTCACTCACTTAGCACACGCATCATTTGGATTAAAACTAAATTGTAAAAATAAGACCATCTATAGGGGCATTCACTATAAGCATCATTTATTTTTAACCTTAGGCATACACGCATTTCTGGCGAAAATGAATCTAGCAGCTTGTGTGAAATGCGCTAGGCTGTAGTACTGTCCTCTCATTCTGCATCAGTACAAATACGTGCATGCATTGTGCGTGTTTTGCTTGCTTGAGTGTTTCTGCATTATATGAGTGGCTTTGGAATATAAATCGCAGCACGTTTCAGATTAAAAAACGCGACTTCTATTTCTGAAAATATCACAGTTAGGAGATTTATAACGAGGGGTTCCCTGCATTATTACAGCAAAGCGCGTGATTACAGTACTGAGCCGCTGCAATGGAGCAGCTCTAATGCTATTAAATTAAAGATGATGTACCATAGAGCAAAAAAAATGAACAGTGAAAGTAACAAAAACTTCAAAATACATTTTAATGGGCATAATTAAGTGTGAAAATAACAGGAGGATATACAGTGAAATCAAAAATTATGATAAACTGATAATGTGAGAACTGTTGACGGTGTCTGAATAAATTTAGGTTTGACTGTATCTATTTGATAAATTAAGTTAACCAGCTAACATTATACATACTCTTTTGGTTTCTGTACCCAATATTTAAAAAATGTACAAATGCAATAAAAATATCGGTACTCGGTATCGGCAAGTACCTAAAATAAAAGTATCGGTATCGGGCGAGTACTGGAAAAAGTGGTATCGGTGCATCCCTAATTTTAAGTTTACTACATTGCAACTTTATTACAAATGTGTAATTACAAATATATTTAAATGCATATGTGACCCTGGAGCACAAAACCAGTCACTGGGGTATATTTGTAGCTATAGCCAAAAATACATTGTATGGTTCCAAATGATCAATTTTTCTTTTATGCCTAAAATCATTAGGATATTAAGTAAAGATCATGTTCCATGAAGATATTTTGTAAATTTCCTACCGTAAATATATGAAAAATGTATTATCATTAGTAATATGCATTGCTAAGGACTTCATTTGGACAACTTTAAAGGCAATTTTCTCAATATTTAGGTTTTTTTTGCACCCTCAGATTCCAGATATTCAAATAGTTGTATCTCGGCCAAATATTGTCCTATCCTAACAAACCACACATCAATGGAAAGCTTATGAAGTGAAGTGACGTGACATGTGGCCTAGTATGGTGACCCATACTCGGAATTAGTGCTCTGCATTTATCCCATCCAAAGTGCACACACACAGCAGTGAACACACACACCGTGATCACACACCCGGAGCAGTGGGCAGCCATTTTTTTTTGTGCTGCAGCGCCCGGGGAGTAGGTGGGGGTTCGGTGCCTTGCTCAAGGGCACCTCAGTCGTGGTATTGAAGGTGGGAGAGAGTGCTGTACATTCACTCCCCCCACCTACAATCCCTGCCGGTACGAGACTCGAACCCGCAACCTTTGGGTTACGAGTCCGACTCTCTAACCATTAGGCCACAACTTCCCAACAAATTATTTATTCAGATAAATAAAACAAAATTCACCCTTATGACTGGTTTTGTGGTGCAGGGTCACATATACAAGTGTCAATAGAAATGACATTAAAGTATATTTTGGTTTACCATAAATGCTTGTCAGTACATTCAGAAGAACACTTTAACCATATTTCAAAGACAATAGAAGTAATTATAAAATTACATATAAAGATGTACTTAAGTCCTACTTAAGTGGGTCAAAAAAATCACTCTAAAGTTCAGCTAATTTCATTTAATATAAATTTAAAACTATAATGCATTTTCATTTAAAACATTACACACTTAGTTCACACTTAAATATATTTTTTAAGTAAACTGTATACATAAGCACTCTTTTTAAGTATGCTAAAGTATACTTCTTTTTCCCAAGGGTATTACTGTTGCTCCTGCATTGGTCTAGTGATTTGAACAAACTGTATTAAATGCTGGTTAGTAACTCATCCTGTACCGTTTTTCCTAATCAATTAGACTTGCAGACAATTAAATTTGCAAAAAAAAAAAAATCCCATTGACTAACATTGAAGGAGGGCCCCAAACCATATCTAAAGACCAGAATATTATAGAGATATTGGGGTGGGCTTATTTTACTTGGAGCCAGTAAGCAACCACCTACAACAGTGATCGTCACTATTTTTTCACGAGAGCCGCACTTATAGGACAAATTTAATAGGAAAGCCACTTTTACTGCAAAGTATGAAAAGTTACATCCAGTCATAAATAGCATGTCTGCTTCTCAATCTGTCATCCCTGAACATACAATATGCAATGCAATACAAAAGGGATTAATTTTTTTAAAGTTATTTAAAGTTATTTGCTTCCACATTAGCCCATCATGTATCATACCATCCAAGAGCACATTCGGCGTTAAGAGCTGGAAAGATTGCCAAAACAACTCTGCAGTGAGTCAATGTCATGGACGTAAGTTTAAATATCGTTCTAGTCTATATTTCCATCTTGTAATTCCGCTGTTTTTGGTATTTTTTAAAATATAAATTATTTGTAATAGAGCAGATTTATGTTCTCGTTTAGCGAGACAGCAGACGCTGAAAACACTGCGCGCTTCAGTATGTGTGTAGTAAACGAAACCGCGCGTCTGTGCCATTCATTCATAAAGAGACACGCAGGATTCATATTTAAATGGTATTTTTGCAGCTTATTATTTACAGATACTAGTCAATACTGCGATTTGATTTGATTTAAGTGTTGACAAATTCCGTGACATTCCATTTTATCCAAGAGCACATTCGGCGTTAAGAGCTGGAAAGATTGCCAAAACAACTCTGCAGTGAGTCAATGTCATGGACGTAAGTTTAAATATCGTTCTAGTCTATATTTCCATCTTGTAATTCCGCTGTTTTTGGTATTTTTTAAAATATAAATTATTTGTAATAGAGCAGATTTATGTTCTCGTTTAGCGAGACAGCAGACGCTGAAAACACTGCGCGCTTCAGTATGTGTGTAGTAAACGAAACCGCGCGTCTGTGCCATTCATTCATAAAGAGACACGCAGGATTCATATTTAAATGGTATTTTTGCAGCTTATTATTTACAGATACCAGTCAATACTGCGATTTGATTTGATTTAAGTGTAACTTTGACAAATTCCGTGACATTCCGCGTTATTCAGTAAATTCTGTTTTTATGACTGGATTCCGCGATTACTGCCGTGTTTTCCGCATCGCAGAAATCATAGGGCCATAATTATAATGGGTTCTATTGTCTTTTGTCGTGTCGCACCACGACGCTAGCGTCCGGTGTAGACACGGTGTGAGTTATTTTTAATGACTTAGTTATAGCCCTGCTTGTTTTTAATGTTTTTATTAAATATCTGTATTGATCATATCATC